TCGGGCCGCTGCACCCCCTGCGTCTGAGGTACCGGGGCCGGTGGTCTGGGGTTTTAAACCAGGTTAATTTTACTCTTTAGGCATTCTTCTGATAGCGATCAGGAAAACTTGAGTATTGTGTCTGTTGTTAAGTACACTTTTTCCCAGTGTTTTTTGCAGATCCTATTGGGAAGTCTCCCCAACCCCCTTGTGGTGCTGGGGCTTCTTGGGGGCTTGGGGTCGGTTTGTTCTCATTTGAGGGCAGTTGGGGTCCTCTGCTGCCTGCACGGCAGGAAGGACAGGAGACCCTGGGCTGATGCTGAGCACTCTGGTTTCTGTCTCCCCTTCCCCTTTTCCCAGTTGCAGCAGGAGAAGGCAGAATGGGAGAAGTTAAACAAGCTGTTAATGCGCCGTGGGTTGAAACCAGTGAGTCTGGCTGGCCCCCAGAGCTGTGGAAGCGTATCTGGTAAGGAAATGCTAATTTTACAAGTTCTTATATTTGGAAGTAGTAAGCTCAAGTTCCTAAGGCATCTCTAAAGCTGTCACTGCCAAATGGTAGCAGTGATGCCATCTTCTTCAGCTATTAAAGCCTTTCCTTATGACTTTTATTATTTTGTGTATCTCCAGATATGATTGTCTTGGACAGTCCGTCTTCTCTAGGAATAAGACTTACATTAAAAACGCTGGTGGAAGACACTGACCGACAGCAGAAAATTATGCAGGGGCTTATGGAGGCTAATCATCATCTTAGGTAAGAAGCAGTGGAAGGAATTTATTTGCTAATGCAAAGCAAAAGCATTGTCAGTGTCTGTCTTCTGCCAGGTGGAGCTCTTGTCACACCTGAGGCCTAAGACCTTTTTCCTGAGATTTGCGTCCAATATGCAGCAATGTTGGCCCAGTTCCTTTTGAGCTCTTACGTTATTTCATCTGCTGCTGCTTCCCATACCAGCATATTTCCTGTACCTGCTGCCACAGGCTGTTATTGAGCGTCATCAGATAATGTTGTCAGGCCTGTGCTTCCTCTGCTGTCTGTAGTGAAATGAGTTTAATTTAAATCAAGCATTTATTAATTTTTTTTCAGAGATGAGATACGACAGGAACGAGGTCGGGCATCTCGACAAGAACAGCGGGCTAATGATTTGGAAAAGATGGTAAAAAACATTAAGTCCAAAATTTGTCAGCTGGAAGATGAGACGATAGCTAAAGTTTGCCAGCAGCAGAAGCAAGTCAGAGAATTTCAAAAAGAACAACAGGTTTCCCAGGTAACTCACATAGTGCTGTCTGAGGATTCAAACTTGTGATTTGTTTTAAAAGCTCTAAAAATATTTACGTGGATGAATATAAACATGAGTCAGAGAGTTAGTACACTATAGCTAGGATTTTTCAATTCAGACAGAATTTTTTTAGTGATAACTTAGAAAAATATCTGTATGCTTCTTCTACTGCCTCTTCGGTATGGAATAAAAAACAAGTACTGAGCTTCCTTGGGACCAGGTGCCTATTTGGGCATGTACACTACGGTCTCCAGCTTGTAGGTTAGAATTATTTCATAATGCTCCCATTATCTCTTCACAGGCAAAATATCAACAGCAGCAGGAAAAACTGCAAGAACAGGAAGAGATTATTGCCCGTTTGCAGAAGGAGCTGCGCAAAGTTGGGATGGAGGAGCAACAGCGTGTTGCCACTCAAAACAAAATGTTTTGTCAGTTTTGCAAAAGAGCTCCCAAGTCTCTTCTAGACCAGCAGTAAGCAATTTTTTTTATATTGGTGAATGACCTGTAACACTAAATGAAAAAACAAATTTTAAAGTAACTGTTCTTGGTAATTATATGAAAAAAAAAGTTGGAGACCTTAGGAGTACAAGCTGGAATATGAATTCTTGTAAAGGTACATCAATGCAGTAATTTTTTCTTGTTTAAAATTGCGAGCTGGACAAGTCTATGGCAGAAATTTAAAAATTATAAGCCACTGAATACACTAGGTGTCAGCAAAGATAAGAAAATGATTCACTTTACTTTGGAACTGCAGTATCTGCTAGGGTGCTCTCATCCTGGGATTCCAACATTTTAAAATGTAAATTAAAAAAACAACCAAACAAAAAAAGCCACAAACACCACCCTCTGAACCTTCCCCCCATAAAACGTTCCAGTTTTGGAAAGTGGTCTTTGCAGCTGCTAACTGCAGGCGTGTTGTAAGGCTTGCCAGGTACTTTAG